AATATAGCTTAACTGGATCAAACGTATTTGTTAATTGTTAAAAATATAAGCATGAATTATAAATCTAACATCATTTGTATATTTTCTCTTATTGCTGATACTAACAATAGTTACAAGAGTGAGACTGATTAATTTATACATAATGAGTATGTAAATGCCATGTGATTAATTGTTAACGATACATTTTCTTCTAATACAATTATATTAAAAACAAAATTAGTATTATTTGTCTGCCCGTGATAGCTCAGTTGGTAGAGCGGAGGACTGTAGTGGTAATTCTGTCATCCTTAGGTCACTGGTTCGAATCCGGTTCGCGGGACTTTCCTTTTGTTACGGTATTCCAAAACAAATTATTTTTGGAACCAGGAATCCGGTAGCACCTCTGGTAACAAACCTACTCCCCCGCACCGGTACCTACATTTCTGCACCAAATCTATCTATTTTCACTATTATAATATATGTTTTCTGATTACATCTGTTAAAGATCTCTAGAAAATCTTTATGTAGAACGTATTAATGCTGAGAAACTTCTCGATCTTGATGAATTCGTCATATTTTATGACATGTCATATTTTAGGCATCAGAGAGATTTAATCAGTTGATACGAGGGAAAGAGTTACAGAAAATTGTCTATCATATGTTTAGGGTAATTAAGATATATGAATTCTTCATAAGTCTACACGTTTTATTGATTTGTTTAGCTAGTTTTGATGTACCATTTAAGGCGATTTATTACCAGTTCTATGATTGTATCGCCAGCATTAAGCGAAAATATATAACAGAAAATGTCTCACATCTCTTGTTATATGAAATCTTATTGTAAAGTAATGTTGACTGTCATGGTACTTTTGTAAAATTATGAAAATATAGTTTTTAGAATAAACTTGTTTTAAACAACATAGTCAGCTGACTAAAGTAAAAAAGGATGCATGATTACTCACAGGATTGTATCTAATTCCTGAGCATTCCTTTCTCATATTTATATTCTTTAGACGGCTGATCTATTTCTTTTCATTGGTAATCTAAATTAATATATAACGTTTGATGAATTGATAAAGGAAAATAGTATTAAACAAAGTTTGTTTTATTTGGTTTTCAGCGCATCAACACAATTTAGGTCATATGGGGCCGAAACAGGAAATATGATTTTGGCAATCCACGGGTGTCACAAACTTAAAGCAGCACCAAGGGTTAAAACCACCTCATCTGCTGAAGCTAAGAGATGCAAAGAGATTTGAACCTATAAGTCGCCTCTTAAGATCACGCAGGGATAAACTGCGGCTGCGATTTTGATGACATAACACTTTAAGGCAACCCATCAGCCACAAGGGCGATTTAACTAAGATCACCAAGGTAGAGCGACATTAGCTAAAGGCAGCCCAAACACTACCTAGCCACACAGGACCATTGTAACGGACAAATCAATTAATCAATGATAACATTAATGATAGAGAGACCAAAAAGGGAGAGAAACATTTGTAATTCAGCAAGCTGATATGTGATCCCATGAGCGGTTATATCACTTGAATCCAAACATAATAACTGAATAATAATGTATGCGGAATAATGTTTAAGATATTGCATTTTACATTATTTGTCTACAACAGACTCATTTTAACCGGGTCTGCAATTTCAGTTACATGTATTTCTTTTCCATTGTCCTCGTCTAACATACAGTTTATAAAGTTTTCTTACTTACAATTTCATACTTACAACAGGAGGTAATGAGTGTTGTGAAACAGCTGTAGACCTTTGTTTGTCCTTCATCTCAATGCTGAACATTGTATTTATCTTTCAAATATGAGATATGATACTAAGTATAGATTTTAAGACATTACATTATTACCGTTTAGGTGATACCTTAAAGTTTAAAAGCTATATGTCTGAGCAAGGTTAAAGCTAAATTTAACACTAAGAACAAAGTGCATTCTATTTGTATAATCTTTAAAGAAAGTTTCCATGTTCACATAAAAGGATAGGTTGCAACATATGTATCACAGCTCAGGCTAAAATATGACAAAAACAATAGTGAATTTCAAGTGATGCTCACAATTTCAGGATTGAAACAAACAACAAATCATGAACAAATCATGTTAGTTTTTTCTTTACACTATGCTAGAACATATAGTACCAGATATATTGTTGTTATTTGCACTTATTATCCTGACAGTTCACACTATTTTTATTTATTTTAGAGATACTGACAGATACTGATATAGATGAGCAGAAATAAAAATGAAGATTTGGCTCATAATATTAATGATTTTGGCACTATTTGATGTGATGATATGTGTTGTACCAACCTATTTGCCAAAGAAAACTTTGAATCAGAGGTCCGAACTTATTATTGAATATTTCAAGCTTGGTTTCAAATACACCGAGATTCTAGGATTTTTATTAAATAGACACGGAATTTTGTTGTCAATGCGGCAATTATATAGAATCCTAAAGAAGTTTAATCTAAAACGTCGGGGATTACAACCCTACCCTCCAATTGCCACAGTTATTGATACCATTCACCGAGAGCTGAACACTTGTGGACAAACACTGGGTTATAGCTCTTTGTGGCAACGGCTTTGGGTTAATCATAATGTAAAGACGACTCATCAGGAAGTAATGAACTCATTGACAATAATGAGCTTGGTGTATTTGGATTAATCGCAAGAATCTCAAAACTGAAACAGTCAATGAGATTGTGTTTTGCGAATTGCAGATATGGTTAATTACCATGGCATACCCATGTATGCTGTTGTAAGATTGTTGGTGTAATCTGTTTAAAAATATATAATTTGGAATCCATCTATCTATGTGTCAGACTTATTTGACAGACAAACCACAATCCAAACAACATATATCAACAACATGACGATGACTTTAGGTTAACTGACAAGTTTAATTATAAATGTATGTCTTGAACAAAGTTCATTCGTGCCTGCTACTCATTAACAAAAGTACAATGTATAGGAGTCTCTTTAAATTGTAAATTAATAATATTTTCAAACAGAAAACATCAATAACCTTTAAACAGCATATGATGATGCAACATGGTAAGTACTGCCTTCAACACATATTTTAAAGTAACAGTGGCAAAGGTCAATGTCACAGTACCGAACCAAAGTGTGTATATATATTAGAAAGTTTGAATGCTTTAGGTCAAAGCACTTAGATTATATTACCATTTAAAATCTTTGCCCTTGTTGGTCATAGTTACCTTGACCTTTTGACCATTAAACAGGATAATGGATGTGGTAGATAGAACTCTTGAGGGTGCATTTACATAAAACGTTTGAAGGTCCAAGGTCAATGGGTCAATGTCACACTTAGAGGTCAAAGGTCAAATTGTGGTGTAATGTATTGTTTCTCGAACATAAGTCATTCACTGATGATTGGATTTCATAAAACCTGGCAAAAATGTTCAATTCTACCAGATGTCTTGGGTATCACTCAGACTCCTCGCATCAAGGTTAATGTCACACTTGAAGGTCAAATGTCACATTTTTGTAAAACATTTTGTTTCCGGAGAAAATGATGATAGAATATTCAAATAGCCTAGCCAAATTTTCCACTAGAAATAGACGATGTGTTGCACGCCCAGGTCCCTCTTTCTATTGCTAAGGCCCCAGAAGCCAATTGTCAAATTGTGGTGCATTTTTTGTTTCATGTTGGCACAGTATCATGGGCAGAAGTATGTGTCACATTGGCATGCAACTTCCTCAATGAGGTACATGCAAAGGTGTTTTTGGTTGCAAAGAAAAATACCTCGAAGATTTTACATTTATTTCTGAAACCATTTGATTAATTTTTTTACAACTATAGAATGAACTCATAAACAAAGCAAGGAAAATGATTGCCACATGTATAAACCTTTTTCTGAAAGTAAAGATATTATAAAGGTTTGTTTTGCACATTAAAGAATGTTTTTTCTGTTTAAAACTACGTATTTTTTCTCTATCTAAAATCTTGAAGAGAACCATTCGATTTTTTGCCCATTAAATAAACCATACCCACTACTAATATGAATTGCTGCTATGCATCGTGCATTAATTTTCGCAATATTATATGGTTGTAAAGCAAGAAGATATATGATAAGCAAATGCAATTAAACTTTTTATAATATCTCTTTTTGTTTTCCAGAAAAAGGTCAATTTACAATACTTTTCAAACAGCCCTTGTTTTATTGGATCTTACAAGGACCCATACAACTACACCTCTCCTCTTTCAAAAATAAGGACATAAACTTGTGACTTGTCAGTTATAATTTGTTAATGACAATTCTTACTCCTCTGAGAGATGTGTTTGAATTTTATGCAAACATACAAAGCCTGATTCTGGCCTGGCCTGGACTTGATCGGACCGACCGACACAAAGATAGACAGACAGATGGACAAGCATACAAACAGGGGTAAAAGAATATGTCTTACAGGAGACTGGACCTAGTGACCTAATTTGACTGTGTCAAAAGCTGAAAAAGTACCTCGACCTCTACTTGTGACCTTGACATTGTAGCTAGATGGAAATAAATGACAGTCAATAAGCATTTGAAGCAATTAACTTTTTAGGAAAAGTTTGACGACAGATGATGACTAAACCTATGGGTCCCGATTCGGTCTTTGACCAGTAGGGGACTAAATACACCAACAAATCACAATTGCTAAATGTAACTTTTTCGGTAGTGTACAATCTTTTTCGAATTATTAATCATTTCCATCATTTTAGTTCTTCAATTTCCATGTAACTTCCCGAAAGACACTGCAAAAATGAATGGCTGTAGGACGCAAGGCAATCTCATACTGCAAGTCATCTGCTATAAATTACATGGAACCATTTCTTGAGTGTTCAAACGAACTAAGCCATGAGGAACCTCTTTCCTTCTCATGGCATTGGCAATGGTTTCAATAGAACTTGCCCCATCCACATCCATATCTGTTGTATCCCATATCTCTTTTTCTGTGTAGAGTTCAGAAAAAGTGCAGGAAATACTCCAAATATCTGACGGTGGTTTAGCAGACAACAGATCTACGAGAATTTCCTGGGCCTGGTACGCCGGAGTACCTGGTTGCATCATATTCTTTTGAAAAAATTGTTGAATGCATTGTGTTCATAGTTTTTAATTTAGATAAACCTAAGTCGCACACTTTAGCAGTGTCAAAGTTTGGTGATAACAATATATTTTCTGGTTTAATATCTCTATGAACTATTACCGGATTTCTGTTATGGAGGTAGGCAATTCCTTGCGTAACTTGTTGAGAAATAAGATGTTTCTGACTCATTTGAAGAGTATGTCCTTCTTCTCCAAACAAAAGGTCATCTAGGTAAGGACCCTGTATCAGTTCGGTGAGGATGTATAGGTGATCAGCGTTTATGGAATATCCCATAAGCAAAACAATATTCGGATGCCGAATATGGCTATTAATTTCAACTTCCCTTAGTACTGATTGTTTTACTAATTTCATTCGCTTTAGTTTCAATTTTTTAACAGCAATATTTGTACCAAGGTTATTGCCTCGGTGCACCTCTCCAAATCCGCCTCCGCCTATTTTTTCAAGAAGTTCGAAGTTTTCAAAAGGAATATTCAAGTGATCTACATGCAATTCATCAGATGACTTTGTTTTATTTTTTTTACTTGGAGGCTCATACTTTCCAATGTCTTGTTGCACTCCTTGATTCTCATTTTTTTTCCCAAGTAATTCAGTTACACAACTATCTGAATACACATTTTTCTCAATATCATGTACTTCTAAAGGTCCGTTTCGTTTCACACTTGGCTCTTGATCCTGTTCCTCTTCAAATCCTAATTGTTTCACATTTTGCTCATGATTCTGTATCTCTAAAGGTCCCATTTGTTTGACATTGCCCTCGTTATTCTGCATCATTAAAGGTCCTATTTGTTTCACATTTTGCTCAGGGCTCTGTATTTCTATAGGCCCAAATTGTTTCACATTGCCCTTGTTATTCTGCACCACTAAAGGTCCCATTTGTTTCACATTTTTCTCAGGACTCTGTATTTCTATAGGCCCCATTTGTTTCACATTGCCCTTGTTATTCTGCACCACTAAAGGTCTCATTTTTTGTTCGACATTTTGCTCAGGATTTTGTACTTCTAAAGGCAAAATTTGCTTCACATTTTGCTTAGGATTCTATACTTCTAAATGCAAAATTTGTTTCACATTTTGCTCAGGATTCTTTACTTCTAAAGGCCCAATTTGTTTCATCTTTTGCTTAGGATTCAGTACTTCTAAAGGCACAATTTGTTCCACATTTAGCTCAGAATTCTGTACTTCTAAATATCCTATTTGTTTCACATTCTTGTCAGGATTATGTACTTCTAAAGGCACAATTTGTTTCACATTTCGCTCAGGTTTCTGTTCCTCTAACGGATGCACTTGTTGCACATTGTGCTCAAGATTTTGTATCTCTGAAGGACACACTACTTTCACATTTGAACTTGACCTTGACACAGAAATAGGTGGGTTGAAAGTGTATGAAAATCCTTCATGTTCGATAGTGACGTTGTATAAACCTGGCTCAACTATTCTCATCATACATCTATTAGGTCCTGTGTAAATGCATTCACCATTGTGATTCCAAGTATAATTACATTCTCCCAGTCCATGTTTGGTTGTAAGAACTCCCACAATCAATGACTTTCCATTGTCCTCAGTCCCGCAGATTTCAGCTGGACCATGTACAACAATGCTTTCAAATTGTTGGCATTGGGGAAATAAAAACATGTTTTCATATTTATCGAGATAACAGACATTTCCAATTTGTATAGATGAAGGTACAAACTCTTCAAAAATACAGTTCACGTCATCATTGTTTTCAATAAGTAGTTTTTCACATGCATCTATTGAATAAGCACTGATAGATGTCAATGTTCCACTATAAGCAGACTGATGGGTGCGTGTGTACTTAATGAGCACTTTGTTAGGTATTTGATTGTTAATTAGTAGAATGCCTTTTTCTTCTAAGAACTGTTTACTGACAATGTCTTCGTTTTCGTTCCCGTCATTTTTGTCAGTATCAAACGTAGCATGTTTTTCATCCTGTTTAGAAGAACTTGATTCAGTTGAGTGTTCACTTTTCTTACATTTAGTTTTAATGTATAGGTAGTGTTGGGATGCAAACATTCCATATGATTTCAAAAAGTCTTGATAAGAATACACATTTCCATTTCTGTCTTTGAAATCCATTATCTCGGTTCCATCATACTGAGATAAATGAACCTCCATGTCTTCCAGTGCGCCCTTCTGACTTTTTCCCTCTGGAAAGAATAACTTTTTACCTAAGTCAAGCAAGGAGTCAACATTCTGGGTATCTTTAATAGAATAGGTAATTGTTCTAACACCCCCACATTGTTTCACTGATTCTACTTGTTTATAGCATCCTTTTCCGTTTTTTTCTTCTCTGAAATGAAGCCATCCAAAGTGAACTTTGTGATCTTTGTGCCTTCCGCCCTTTGAAGGACCTGACATGTGGTCAGATGGCTGAAATGTATAAACGAAATAAATAAGTAAGAAATTATAATAAAACTAGAAATGTCTGCTGACATGGTACCCCCTCTAAACTTAACCCACAACACAGGGCTTAACGGACGCACGCACCGACCGACGAGGGGTCATCTACTGGTCATGACCAATCATCATACCAAGTTTGAAGTTCCTAGGCCTAAGGGTTCTTTATTTTTTGATCGGAAACCGTTTTTACCTACAAGGTCAATGTGACCTTGACCTTTGACCCCTTGACCCGTAAAACAATAGAGGTCATCTGCTGGTCATGATCAATCATCATACCAAGTTTGAAATTCCTAGGCCTATGCGTTTATTTAGTAATTAATCGGAAACGGTTTTAACCTACAAAGTCAATGTGACCTTGACCTTTGACCCCAAAATCAATAGGGGTCATCTGCTGGTCATGACCAATCATTATACCAAGTTTGAAATTCCTAGGCCTAAGCGTTCTTTAGTTATTGATCAGAAACCGTTTTTACCTACAAGGTCAATGCGACCTTGACCTTTGACCCCAAAATCGATAGGGGTCATCTGCTGGTCATGACCAATCATCTTACCAAGTTTAAAGTCTCTAGACCTAAGGGTTCTTTAGTTATTGATCGGAAACCGTTTTTACCTACAAGATCAATGTGACCTTTGACCCCTTGACCCCTTAATCAATAGGGGTCATCTGCATGTCATGAACAATCACCATACCAAGTTTGAAGTTCTTAGGCCTAAGGGTTCTTTATTTATTGATCGGAAACCGTTTTTACCTACAAGGTCAATGTTTGACCTTTGACCCTTTGACCCAAAAATCAATGGGGGTCATCTGCTGGTCATGACTAATCATAACACCAAGTTTGAAGTACCTAGGCCTAAGCGTTCTTTATTTATTGATTGGAAACCGTTTTCACCTACAAGGTCAATGTGACCTTAACCTTTGACCCCTTGACCCAAAAATCAATAGGAGTCATCTGTTGGTCATGACTAATCATCATACCAAGTTTGAAGTACCTAGGCCTAAGCGTTCTTTAGTTATTGATCGGAAACGGTTTTACCTAAAAGGTCAATGTGACCTTGATCTTTGACCCCTTGACCTCTAAAATTAATAGGGGTCATTTGCTGGTCATGACCAATCACCATACCAAGTTTGAAGTTCCTAGGCCTAAGGGTTCTTTATTTTTTGATCGGAAACCGTTTTTACCTACAAGGCCAATGTGACCTGGACCTTTGATCCCTTGACCCCAAAATCAATAGGGGTCATCTGCTGGTCATGATCAATCACAATATCAAGTTTGAGGTTCCTAGGCCTAAGCGTTCTTTAGTTATTGATCGGAAACCGTTTTAACATACAAGGTCAATGTAACCTTGACCTTTGACCCCTTGACCCCAAAATCAATAGGGGTCATCTACTGGTCATGACCAATCACCATACCAAGTTTGAAGTTCCTAGGCCTAAGGGTTCTTTAGTTATCACTCGGAAACCATTTGGTCTACGGACCGACGGACCGACAGACCGACGGACCGACAAGTGCAAAGCAATATACCCCCTCTTCTTCGAAGTGGGGGCATAGTAAAGAAGCTACATGATGACTTGTGACTTGTAACTTATAACTTGTTACTTACGACTTGTTACTTATGACTTATTTTTATAAAGGCTAAAAAAACTTTTTTTCACATTTCAAGTACCATAAATCTAGAGTGACTAGATTAATTTTGCTTGTTATCGAACTTGACAGTGATACGAGGGATGATCAAAATTAAACCGGACTGTGACTGTCAATTGAAGAATTTTCAACCTTTCACTTATTGTTATATATCACACTTAATCGGAAATCAATACTTGTAAACTGATGCTTTATCTAATTTGATAACGCAAGAAACTTATCCGTAACAGCGAATTAAAAAACCATGGTAACGCACACCCGGCGCAGTGCGTAAATTCGCCTTGACATCAGGCGCTTTAAGCTGCGTATATTTTACAATATGGCACATTTAGATTTCAAAATACGCCAAAACGTCATGAACCATATCTTCGACATTGTCAGTAAAAATGACTTCATTTACTAGTAAATCATATTTATATTTGCAATCACAATTAAAACGTCACATGTTAATGAAATACTCACGTTAAAACTATTTCGTCGGAATATCTCGAAAATCGATCAATAAGAAAAAATTGTCAAAAGTAAGACGATAAACTGTTTAAAACGTAGAAAAAGATTATGGCTGTCAAGGGAAAAGTTCCAGAAAGCCACATCATATTTTTGTTTAGCATAAAAGATTAAGAAAGGGTATAAAAGAAATAGAAACAAGAAAGGGAGAGACAGAAAAAAGAAATTTTCTAGGACGTTGGTGACGTCAATCGCCAAGACGTTGAAAAATGACAGTCGATTGACTGCGGACATTGTCAACAATGTTCGACAGTAGCTACGGGACGGTGCAGTCAACTCTTAGGATTTTAAAATGATAATAGTTAATGCATTAATTACATATATTGTATTCTTGGTTTGCAATTGTATCAATTATTTTCTTATTTTACGCAGTAGTTTTTGGAGAAATTGTGTCAACAATTAGACAGTCACTGTTCAAAATCGGCTATGCATTTTATTTATTTTAAAATAATGACAATTTTGTTCATAGTTGTATTATTCTTTTATTTTTTTCTTATGTATGATACATTTTCATTCAGCAACATTATTTTACATTATTTGTTATACATAATATAGTTTATTGCATGTGCAATTTTTCGAACAATCAAGTTACAAGAGGAAAGAACGGAAAATTTGCGTCATTACCGGAGCTCTTTATCATCATTCATTCTTTTACAATACAATATGATACCCACTTGTACAGAAATATTTATAGGCAGTGGATCCGCCGCATCAACAACATGACTGTACCACTTATTGGCCTACTCCGTGAATGAGTAAAAACTTCTCCGTTAAGGAAAATACGTTTGTGACGTCGTTAACGTAAATTTCAAAGTTATACCGTGCGCCGCATTGCATTACATGTGCATGCCAATAACAGCATAACTTTTTTATTTGTTTATATTTCTTGTTGGTATTATTTGTATCATTTAGGGGATAGATTCCGATTTATGTTCCGTGTATTTTTATGTAAATTCATTTAACGGGTAAAGAATCATGTACAAAGTCCGGTTAATTTTTGATCATCCCTCGTATAATGCCAACAAGGAGCGTGAAGATGCGATGGTTAAGATTTGAATTAAAGAGCGGTCATAATCTTAGGTATCCTAGGGTGTTTACCACGACCCTATATTAAGGTTAATTTAACCCCAGGGTCTTGATTTGAACAATTTTGGTAGAGGTCTACTAGTTTGTGCTACATTCCAAATATCTAACCCCTAGGTCATGTGGTTTAAGCCAAGAAGACTTTTATAGGTTTTCCTTATATATCTCTATATAAAACTATGTTAGCAAATGTGGCGCATACCTTGACCCAAGGGGCACAATTTGAAAATTTTTGTAGAGTGCAACTGATGATGTTACATTGTACATAATTATCAAAGCTCTGGGCTTTGTGGTTTCAGACAAGAAGTTTATTGA